TTTTGGTTTATTTAGTATGACCTTTAGAGTTCAATTCGATCTTTCTAAAACTGCTTCCTCCCAGCAGGATTGTGTGGCATACCTGCAATATGCTTTATATTGTACAAAGCAAAAAAAAAGTTTCATTTTACTAGGGACATATGTTGGAGAATTGTCATTCTTAATTTGTACAGGTATTTCCATGATGGCCATAACTTCTAAAAAATGTATGATTAAAGAATCAGCCTTGCTGGGCATTGGTGGGGCATGCCTTTAATCCCAGCACTTGGGAGGGCAGAGGCAGGCGGATCTCTGTGAGTTCGAGGCCAGCCTTGTCTACAGAGTGAGTTCCAGGACAGCCTCTAAAACAATTCAGAGAAACCCTGTCTCGAAAAACCAAAAAAAAAAAAAAAAAAAAAAAAAAGAATCAGAATCAGCCTTTTCAGAACTCAAAGTAGTTGCCCATTGAAATCCTGACTAGGTATCAACAGTGTGGTGTACATGGTTTACATATATTAATTTTCCAAATTCTACAAAATGAAATACACCCATTTGCCAGATTTCATTCCTTTGAGTACCCTTTGGGTTACTTTCTACTGGTAGTGGAGTGAGTTTGTATAAAGAACAAGTAGGACATTTCCTTATAATTTCCTTAGCTTGTATGGAAAAGTCTTTTTTCAAACCTTGATATTGACATGTTGTTTTTTTATTAAATTCAGGTGCCTCCAGCACAACATTTCCTATTAATAGTTGATCAGAATATATATACATATATATGTATATATATATTCCTGATTACTCCTTGTAACTGAATAAAAATGTCAATTCTGTATTGTGAATCAGTAACTACATTGAAAGGCTCCATAAAATCCATTAATACCATAAGAATAACATAAAATTCTGACTTTTGGACAGAATCATAAGGCCTTTGAACCACTTTACTTACATTTTCTGATTTGTAACCTGCTTTTTCTGATTTATTTGCATCAGTATAGAATGTAGGGGATCCAGATATTGGTGTTCCCCATACAATGTGAGGAAGGATCTAGTTAGTTCTATTTATGAATTGAATTCTCTTGCTTTTGGGATATTTGTTGTTAATTTCTCCTAAAAAAATTACTGAAAGTTCTTTGCTAACTACTTTCTGCCCATAGTTTTTCAATTTCATCATTAGCAAAAGGTACTTCAGTTTCTGCTGGGTCTATTGCTGCTAATTGACAAAGTCTCAATTTTCCTTTTTGAATAAACTCAGAGACCTTTTCCACATAAGTTTTTAATGTTTTACTCTGTTTTTGTGGTTTAAAAAATCCATTCTAAGATAACATCTCCCCTCTGCATTAACATTCTGTAGGAGAATACTTAGACAGTAAAATAACCAAAATGCAATCAAGCTTTGGATACAAAAGATCCATATGTGCATTTTGTAATTTCTTTATCAGGAAAGCCATTCCTCTCTCAGATTCAGTTGATAATTCTCTTGGACTATTGATGTCTTTGACATTATCTAAGGCTTTGAACAAATTTTACTCAGTTCCTTTAATTTCAATTCTAATAGTGGGCCTTAGATAGGAAATGTCTCCTAGCAATATTTGAAATTAAGAGTCTGCAATTGATTTCTCCTAATTTACATCTTTTGGGGTCTAATTTTCTGGAGACCTAATTAATATCCTAAGTAATTGATAGAATCTCCCTCTCCAAGAAATCAATCTTGGGAGATTTCCATTCCTCTAGACTTACTTTGTTGTTCAATGGTCTTAGCCTTATCTTTCCACAAGGTCCTCCATTGTAATTGAGGACCAGGTTACAAAACTGCTGTAACCAAATCGCTCCAGTCTTGAGGGATAGTTCTCTTACAAGTTGACCACGAGTTTAACATCGGCTACACAAAAGGGAACGCATGCCATATGAGACTATTGGTTCCTTGAATCTCCTTAAATCTAACATTTCCACAACAGTCCAGTTAACTCTTGCATGGCCTTGTGTATATTTGGCAGTTCCTGTAAGGTGACTGGATAAATTAAAGTTGGGTATTTGAAAACCTTAGGCTGTTCCTCTCTGGCCTTCTAATGCAATGCTTAAATTATTCTCCATTACATTCCTCTGTCTGGGTCTACCTATCTCTATGATCTGTTTTAAAATTTTTTTCTAAAACTTGTATCTTTGCACTCAGATTAACCAACTTTTTAGTGATAAAATAAAAATAATAAAACTGATGCTTGTAATTTGCATCTAATTTATTTATCCTCTCATTTAACTTTTCCCTTTTCAAAATGTTCAGTGTATTATCATATAGAGACCTAACTCCCTCCATTGTAATAGTGTTTCCCATTTTTTAATGTGGGACAACTCTCTCTCTCTCTCAAGTAATTCTCCCCTTTAAGAATTCCCAATTGTCTAAATAATGCTGATGATGATGGTGGCTCAGCATAATGCTGTGTAGCGTGTCTGATGGGAGAACACAGATGGTGAACAGCTTGGCTAAGGGCAGCTGCAGCTGCTAGCATGTAGCTATGAGCTGACAGTGGCAGCCTGAGGAGGGGGTCTAGTGGAAGCCTGCAACCCACGGGGAAGAGGGGGCACATGGCTTCGTGTGGAAAAAGCATGTGTGCTGCGAGCTGCCTGAAGGCAGAGCCAGCCAGTCTAGGGTGGGTAAGTCCTGTGGTGTTTGGAGCTCAGGTGCTTCTGGAGTTTGAGTGGCAGTTGGAGATTGATGTAGAGAGGCTGCAACAGGAATATCCCGAACTCTCTCAGAGGCTTGGGGAAAAAAGCAAAAGAAAGCCCAGCTCATGGGGCGGTGACTCCAGCGGGAGCCCCCAATGCACCTCCGGTATGTGCCAGTGGCTGCAAAGCCACAGGTAAGTGGCTTTTTTGTGTGTGAATTTGTGCCTTAAAGTTGTCCACCAATTGTTGCATGTATTCTAATTGGTCTTAATAATAACTACCCAGAGTCAGATATCGGGGTAAATGCTGAAAGATCAAAGACACAATGGAGCAAGCCATAGACACCTCTTACCTCGAAAACTTCTCTGCTCCACCTTATCACTGCCTGTCTGTACAGACCTCCAGACCTCTATGGTTAACCAGTGGCTAGTTCTACCCTCTGATCTCCAGGTAAGCTTTATTTGTTAGAGTGCAAACAAAATATCATAACAGGTGAAGGTGGTGGGAAGCCCTCAAGCCCTGCTCCTAGCAGGAAGATAAATGATGATGCTAAGTGGCTGGGGCAGAATTCAGGAAAGGAAGCCAGCCTGTGCATATAAGGCCAGGGGCAAGCCTGCAGGGGAAGTGGACGCACCGTTTGGTGTGCTCTAAAACCAAAGGGCGGTTGCATGTTCTGCTCCTTCATAGGACTCCAAGGACGCAAAGCAGTAGCAGCTCCTGTACCAGCTCCTTGTGTCATACGGTAGGAGCGGGGCTTGGAGAGCACGACGGGGTTACCTGATGGGATGTGGCCACTGTGGAGCACACAGATCAACCGTCTGATACTGGGCATGTCCTCATGCTGTACAACAGATTCCTCTGAGGTTCAAACACTCTCTCCAGCAGGGAAGCTCCTTAAGCCAGAAGTAAACAACTCAAAATAGCTTCAGGAAGTCCCTGAAACTGCCAAGATTCACCGGGCTACTCCTTGCCAGAGTAAGCAGCGAGAGCTCAGAGTCCCTGTCAGACAGAGCTCGGCTGGGCTGCAGAGTCCTGAGAGTGGACCAGCTGCCTGGAAGAGATGATTTAGACCAACTGAAGCACCTGGAAGGACATGCTTCAACCTGCGAGCAGCCTGCCGCTGTGCCTTGTGCTCCAGGTTCCCAGCTTTGTGAGCTGTCACCCATGTTTATTTAGGTGGGCTTTGCTGATGGAGCTGATTTTGAGTCATTTCTGCTCCTGTACGTAACCCAGTAAAACTCATAGTTCACCAAACTGGACTCTGGCTCTACCTGTACTTTGGTATGTCATGGGTTCCTTATCTGGGATAAATAGGTAGGCGTGTGTGTTGTGTCTCCCTGTAGAGCCACACAGATCAACCACATTCCATTCTTCAAACTGGTGGAAAGCTTGGTTGTGGCTATGGATGTGTTTTATCTACATGGAGTGTTTTATCCACCTGTCTCTGCCTCCCAAGTGCTGGGATTAAAGGTGTGTGTGCCACCACGGCTCAGCTATATATTTAAACTAATTCTGTAGAACGTGGCTTACTAAAACACATTTCTAAAATTTAAGGGTTTATAAACAAATACTCCACGCTGGCTTCCATGTTTTGTGATATCTTGATGTGGGAGGTTTCACGCCACACTCTGCATGTACACCCCCAAAACACCCTGAGCTTTCCAGTTGTGAGACACCAGCGTCTCGGCCAGCACAGTGAGCATTTTCTTGCTGACAGTTCTCTGTGTTATTTAGTTTAGTTGTCCTTTTTTGCACTCTTTTTTTTTTCTTCTTCTTTTTTCGAGACAGGGTTTCTCTGTATTGTTTTGGAGGCTGTCCTGGGACTCACTCTGTAGACCAGGCTGGCCTCGAAGTCACAGAGATCCGCCTGCCTCAGTGGTAGATCCTTAAAGCTGGTCCCTGAGATTCCATATCTTAATTATTCCTTCAACACTGACCTCAGTACTGCTGTGAGGTTCATCTGAGCTGCCACAGTGAACTGTCCCAGCAAACCTGACCAGGTCAGCTTATGTCATTACCATAAACCACCTGTGGCAACCGAAGGTTTTATAAAGAGCGAAGGCTTACTTACTTCAGTTTGGGAGGTTCAAAGCCCAGCACCACTTATTTGGGCTCTTGTGTGGCCAGGAATTGCTGAAGAGAAGTCCACAGTCCCAAATTTTCCTCCAGGGCTTAATGTCCTAAAGTGAGTGCTCCCATCAGGCCCCGCCTTCTAGAGGTCCTACAACTTCCCAATAGCATCATCTAAGAGTCAGGTTCTTGGGGATCCACGCCATAGTGAGCCCTTGAATGTGGCAGTTGAAGGCAGGAGAGTCAGAGGTGTGTGGGGAACAGCCAGGAAAGGGTGGGAGGGACCCAGCCTGCCTTTGAGGGCGCCGAGGAGGACCACGGGCTAGGGAGGGAAGCAGACCCCTGGGTCCACATGGCCAGCCTCAGTTCCACAGCTTCATTGAGCTGAGGTCAACTCAGTATAGGGAAAAAAGTGCCCCCCCCCCAGACGCGAAATCGCTTTGCTAGAGCCTAAGAACAACAAAAGGTAAACAAAACCAGCAAGGACTCTTAGGGATACATGCTTTGGGATGCAAAGCTGCTCAGGAGACTGGGCTGGAAAGGTCTACAATCTCAGCGGGGAATCCGGAACTACCTGACCAATTGTGCCGGCTGCCGCTAACTGTGATTGGTCCTCAGAGCCATGGTTTCCGAAGTATCTTATGTAAGTTGCAATTTTATTTTACTTTTTTCTTGGAGGCACAGTCTCCCTCTGTAACCCAGGTTATCCTGGCGCTCACTAGGTACTCTTGAACTCATGACAATCCTCCAGCCTCAGGTGCTGGAATTTCCATTGTAAGCCTCCACATTCTGCTTCGTTTTTCCTTTAATGGTGTCCCTGCACTCCGCCCCCTTCCGGCAAGGCTCTTAGTGGGGACACTCCCTTTGCTAAGAGCTTTCTTCTAAGCATGGGGTAATGGCCTCTGCTTCATCTGCTTTCTCTCTGGCCTGCAGCTATGGGAAAGCTAAACGAGTGGGTGCTATGACAGTCTGGGGCCCAGGGGGACTGATAACGGCAGGAGGAAGCTTCAGCCACTTGGAGAGGGTGGCCCTTTGTCCCTGTGGCTGGCTTCTTGACAGAGCTGGGTGAGGTCTCTTTTGAGTTGAATATCCTGTCCAGTGTCAAGATTCTCACCGTCTCTTGGACTTTCTACTGCTTCACCGTGTCAGGGCAGGGGCCACCGTCTTCCCCGCTCTCTCCCCTTTTGATATCTTACTTGGCTCAGTGGGGGAAGTCTTGTCTGCTCCACCACAAACTCAGTGGAAATAGAACTCTAAACTCCAGCCTTCATAAAAGCAGTTAAGAAATTAACAAAAATTCTCAGAATCAGAGGAGCCAGGTTCCATTTCCAGGACCAGTGACAGGTGCTACCTGAACCCCAGCTCTGGAGACTCTAGTCCCTGGTCTCTGCAGGAACCAGTGCTCATATGCACAACCCTGTACACATAATTTAAAATAAGAAATCCTTTGCATTTTTTCCTACGGAGTATCAGGACTCTCAGGAGACAAAGGTGCTTGCTGTCAGACTGAAGACCGAGATTCGGTTGCTGGAACCCATTTGGTGGGAGAAGAAGAGTGACACCTGCAAATTGTTCTGGATTCCAGGTGAGCATGATGGCATGTGCGTGTTCACGCTGGTAAACAAATACCTGTGAAAACAAAAGGCAACAGTGTCTAGCACAGCTGGGCCTTGTGGTGCACGCCTTTGGTCCCAGCACTCTGGAGGCAGAGGCCAGTGGATCTCTGTTCGTTCAAGGCCAGCCAAAGTTACACAGTAAGGCCCTGTCTAAGATAAATAAACAAAGCTTTTAATATTTTTAAGAAAAGGAGCCATAGGATCATTTATACAAATTTGGAAAAATTTGACACAGAAACATTTGACAAAATAAAAATTTCCTTTAATGATAAAACATGCAACCAATTAGGAGCAAAGGGAGCATTCTTAGTCTGGTAAGGGCATCTAGCAAAGTCCAGAGCTAACAGCTAACTGTTCGGGAGACCCAAGAAAGCTGTAACATTTTTCAGAGCTAAGTCTGCTCTCAGCATCATATTGCTATGAAGAACTCAAACCTGTTTTTTCTTTTTCTGAATTGTTAATCCCCACATGTCAATCTGTTTAAGTTGTTTGTTTTATCTTATTTATGGTTGATAATAAGACACCTCCCCCATTTGTAGTCTTCACTGTCTGCCACTCCGCCCCTGGAGGAGGGAGGGACAAATGTCGGGCACCTAAGGGGTCCAGTCATTCAAGAACCTGGAAGTCACTGGCTCAGAGTGGCTTGGATGGGTTTTGAGTTTCCAAGGTCCTGGATTAAGCCCACATGAGTTGAGAATCTATCACACTCATAGACCTCATAACAATAGCACCAAACCCAGTACTTTGTAAGTACATAGAAATAAATGGTGCTAAAACACAAAAGGACAGATGTCCTGTGTCCGATGACTAGGACTAGACAAATGACCACTAAGATCTTTCAGATTAAATACAATCCCTATTCACACTCCATCTGCCTCTTTTGAAAGACAGGAATGGGTAAGATTATTTCTAAATTTCATATGGAATTGGACAGGACCTATAATCCCAGATACTCAAGCTGAGGCAGGAGAATCATTAACTCAAGGAGTTCCTGGGTTACAGAGTGAGTTTGAGGTCAACCTGGGCAACTTAATGGGGCCTTATATCAAAATTAAAGGGGCTGTATTTACAGACAAGTGGTCCAGCACTTACCCCTTATGTCCAATCCCTGGCACCCCAAAGCAGAAAAATAAAACCTACATAGAACAACCAAAAACAGTTATGAAAACAACCATATTGAAAGCTCACTCCTGATTTCATAACTTACCAAAACAGTGGCTAAGCTTATGTAATTCTTGGTGAGCATTAACATAGCCTCAAGGCACAGAAGGCCTGTCTTTGGCATTGCTCTCAGGTTCCCATGGTAACCACTTCAAGCCTTTCAAAGGCAAGAACTCCAACTGTTCTGACCGACTCCCACCAGGCCTAGCTTCTTGATGATCTCACTACATCTTAATACCGTCCTCTGCCTGAGTCGGACCATCTCAGAGTACACAGCCTCCCAGTGACTTCATTTCACCTTTCCTTCAGCTCCAAGTGGCCACGTAACTGGCAGTCTCTGAGGCTTTGGCCCTGTGGACTTTTGTCCTACTGCATTAGCTCCCATGCTGGTCATGAGACTGCTCAAGGCTCCCCTGCCTGTCTCCACCTCCCTGGTTAGGTGGTTGAGAACTGCTGATTTCTCTTGGTGACTCCTCAGCTTCCTAGGTGGGTGGCCCTGTCCCTGTCATTTTAGGCAGTAGGGCCTCCTCCACACCCGACTTGGCACACTTGAGTCTGGACCAGGAACGAGTGAGCAGGGGCAGCTTCCTGGGTAACTTGAGGCTTCCCCCACGGAATGTGCTGCAGGTGAGCCTGGCCACTCATGATCTAGAGTCTCCACCTTGGGTATCTTTGGTGGAATATGAAGAGCAACAGTGTGGAAGAACACATGGGTATGCATGTCCAGGCCCTGCTAGCCTCCTCACAGCTGACCGTAGAAGGAAGGTGCACCACATCTCAGGGTGCCCTGGCTTCCAAGATCAGATCCTGGTAAGGGTTGCAAACCCAAGAGAGTGGCCTTATGTTCCTGGCACAGTATGGGCTGGCCCTGGATGCCCAGCTCTGAATTCTGCTTTGTTTGGGCGATGCTGACCCAGGCCAGGTCTGGGTGCCAAGTCCTGAAGGCTAGACAAAGGCAGGGAGAGTAGATAGCATCTGAGGCCCAGCTCCTGGGAACTGCGAGGGTGCCCGCCCTGTGCTTACACTGACTTCCTGCTCCTGGCATCTCCGTCTGGCAAGTTGGGCGAGGCCACAGTCTGAGGGTAGGGAGGTGGGGGGGCATCCTCTCTCAACCCTCCTCATGGACTCTGAACACCGGGCACAGAGTGGTGGGAAGCGACGGTATGTAGTGGGTTAAAAAGGGCATCAACTTCCTATGTTATTTACGTGAGAGTGACAACTGAGACAGACACAGGTTATGGGACAGACAAGAAGATAGACAGAAAATGTTGACTAAGAAACACAACACTACACACATACACACACTCTCTCTGTCTCTCTGTCTCTGTCTCTCTCTCTCTCTCTCTCTCTCACACACACACACACCAATTAATTTTAAAGAAGATAGGTTTAACCTGCCTTTAATTCCAACACTCAGACAGATCTCTATGAGTTTGAGGCTAGTCTGGTCTACCTAGGGAGCTCTGGGCCAACCAGGGCTACATGGTATGATCCTGTCTCAAGTAAGGAGATGGAAAGGAGTGTGTGTGGGATGAAACATGGGGTGTTACAAATAACTTGAAAGGCGGCTGTAATTACAAAAGACACGAGAGCTCAAGTACTCCAGGTAAGGAAAAATTAATGTCCTATTTTATTTTATGTTGATAAAACAAAATGCCTGAGACTGGTTAATTTACACAGACTTTTTTTCCTCAAAGTTTAAGAAGACCAAAAGTGGACTGTGGAATGTGCCTGGTCCCACCACCCTTCGGTCCCAAATAAACACACAAAGACTTACATTAATTACAAACTGTTTGACCAATGGCTCAGGCTTCTTACTGGCTAGCTCTCTCTTAGTTATTAACCCATAACTATTGATCTACATGTTTCTACATGGCCTTATCTTACCAGAGAATGCCTCATCCTAAATTCCCATAGCTATGTCCTCTCCCCAGAATTCTCATCTTGTAGCCCCACCTATACTTTCTGCCTGGCTACTGACCATTCAGTGTTGATTCATCAAACAATAAGAGAAACATATATACAGAAAGACATCCCCCATCAGCCTCTGGTAAAGACCTCATGTGGCTTCAGCTTGTGGTGGGAAGAGAAACGGCATGTCGGCACATGAATTTAAAAAGGAAGTACAGGGACAGCCTTGCTTCTATGAAGCAACATTAAGCCTCCACAGAGGCCTGGGTTGGTGCCCTGAAGACTTCTAGCTGGATCCTCTCAAGCGTCTCCTGCATGAAGACTCAACAGGAGCTTCCGTGTGTTCAAACCATAGTACACAAAAGGCCTTCCTAAGAAACTAAGACTTTGAAGGCCAAAGCACAGAAAGATGTACCAGGAAAATACACCAGTTGTGTCAGATCAAAACACAGGCAGGGGCGCCACGGGTGTGCAGAGATGCTAACAGCAAATCAAGCTCCTGGGAATTCTGCTGAAGGGGGGGGGGCGGCACAGATGAGAATGCAAGGAAAGAAAGGGGCTTTCTGTCTGTGTGTGTCTGAGTTGGCCTTTCTCTGCTGCTGAGGTTAGCTTTCAACTCTTGAGATAAAGTGATTCCCTTGCCTCTATTCCCTTCTCTATCTGCGAAGTTGCTGGTACTGTAGACACATGGCATTGGTCTATGTTGATTTAAGGAGTCAGTGGGCATTTTTTCAATTAATTTTATTAATTTGATTTTATGTATAAGTGTTTTGCCTGTGCATGTGTAAGTGTGTGTGTGCTTGGTGGCCGCCAAGGCCAGAAGAGGGCATGGGATCCTCTGGAGTTGAGTATTGGATGGTTGTAATAAGCAATGTGGGTGCTGAGAATCAAGCCCCAGTCTTCTGCCAACGAAACAAGCACTTTTAACTGCTGAGCCATGGCTCGAGGCCCTGGGAGTCAGCCTTTGCGTGTGTGTGTTGGGGGGCAGGGACACATGTGTGCATGTATGTGGAAGCGGGAAGTCAGCCTTGGATGTCAAGCCTCAGGAGCTATCCACCTTGCTTTTGAGGCAGGTCTGTCACTGGCTCTTGCCTATCAGGCTGACTGACCAGCGAGCCCCACAGATCTCCTTGCCTCTGCCTTCCCATCACTGAGACCACAGTGTGATTTTCATGTAGGTTGTGGGTAGGAGTTGAACCCAGGCTTCATGCTTGCAGAGCAAGCACCTTACCCTGTTGGCAGCTGTGCAGCCTAGTTTTGGACCAGAGTATGAGGCAAAGCCCATGAGGACAGTCATGCTCCGCAAGGACCAGAGGACTTTGGGTCAGTGCAGAATACTTGTGGGATCACCGGGCCGCACACGCTCTTCTCTCATAATATTGATTCTTCTGGTGGTTTCTAGTGTCATTTTGTCAGTCATGCATGGGACAGATGTAATCATTTCTGGAAACCCCATTTTTTTCTTGAATATTTTCCCCTAAAATTCTTTGGATGTTGATGCTTCTTGTCTGGGGATGGCAGATCTCACTCCAGGCCCCCGGGCTGTTCTAATTCAGTGCTGACTGAGGCCAATCATTCTTATTTCTGTAAATACATTTTGAAAGAGATTGCTGTTCTTAAAAAAATGTGGGCCTATGCTTATCGCCTTACAGTTTTGTAAACACAGGATGTACCTGGCTCAATATTTGGCCAAGCTGCAAAATGATAAGTTGTTTTTGTTTTAAAGATGTTTTGATGTAAAAGTTGGGAAAAAACATATTTGACATTTATTTGCCGGAGGTTAATGTTGGAGGGTGGGAAAAACATACTTGTTAGTGTGGAAAAACATGCTTGATTTTGATGTCTGAAAGACTTGGCTGGAACTTTTTGGGGAAGGCAGGCCACTTTATGAAACTCACCTAGTGGTTAACAGTTCCTGTCTTCAAGCCGACACCCTTTCCCCGTCTCAGGACCTGAACCCAGGCTGCAGCAGGACAGCGGCATCACCCAACTTTAGTGTCAACTTTTGCCAGCAAATTAGAAAACAGATAGACTGGATTCCTTGGGAAAACACAGTTTTCCAGAGCAGAATGAAACTAAAGGAAAATTTGTAAAAACTGTACAAATGTCACCAGTGATTGAAAAACCTTGTGTGCAGCCCACAATTTGCAGAAAGCAAATTCTGACTTTCAAGAAACCGCTAATTCCAGTCATCTACCAACTTGTTTCAGAGATTAGAGAAGTAAGGGATATTTTTGTTTCATTTTGAAAAGCTAATCCAAGCTTGGTATGCAAATTACAGAAGGATGGGACAAAAGGCAAATTCATGCTAAATTCAGCTTACAAACAAAAATGATAGCTGAATCTAATATGCACAAAAAAGACAATTCTTCACTGCCAGTGTGAGGTTGGGGTTGAGCAGGGTGTGGTGGTGCACTCCTTTAATTCCAGCACTCGGGAGGTAGAGCTAGGTAGATCTCTATGAGTTTGAGACCAGCCTGGTCTACAAATCGAGTTCCAAGACAGCCAGGGCCATACAGAGAGACAGTATCTCAGAAAGGGGGTGTGGGGGCTGGAGAGATGGCTCAGAGGTTAAGAGCACTTGTTGCTCTTGCAGAGGACCTGGGTTTTATCCCAGCAACCACATTTTGGTTCACAGGTATACCTTGTTGCAGAAAATCTGTCTCCCTCTTCTGACTTCCGAGGGCAAAACACCCATACATATAATAAATAATACATATAATAAAATGGGGCTGGAGAGATGGCTCAGCCGTTAAAGGCTAGGCTCACAACCAAAAATATAATAAAATGAATACGAAAGTATATAAACATATATATGCACATATATGTAAGTATATATGTATGTTGTTATGTATGTATCCCAGTCCTGTGTAAGAGCCAGCGCCCTTAGCGCCCCAGCCCTCCACATGTAGCTTTGGAGGAAACCGATGAGCCGCTTCCACGCTTTGGAGGAAACCGATGAGCCGCTTCCACGCTTTGGAGGAAACCGATGAGCCGCTTCCACGCTTTGGAGGAAACCGATGAGCCGCTTCCACGCTTTGGAGGAAACCGATGAGCCGCTTCCACGCTTTGGAGGAAACCGATGAGCCGCTTCCACGCTTTGGAGGAAACCGATGAGCCGCTTCCACGCTTTGGAGGAAACCGATGAGCCGCTTCCACGCTTTGGAGGAAACCGATGAGCCGCTTCCACGCTTTGGAGGAAACCGATGAGCCGCTTCCACGCTTTGGAGGAAACCGATGAGCCGCTTCCACGCTTTGGAGGAAACCGATGAGCCGCTTCCACGCTTTGGAGGAAACCGATGAGCCGCTTCCCCGGGTGCTCACGGTTCGCTCTCCCACCTCAGTGTAGCGCTCTGCTTTCTCTGTATTGCACAGAACTCGGTGGTGGTGTTTCTAAGTCTCGCTGCATCTTCCTGTCCCACAATGATCCTTTTCGTCGTGTGCCTGATGGACAGAGATGTGGAACCTCCTGCTCATGGTCCATTTTCTCTGGAGAGAAGTCTCTTCATGTCTCTTGTTGAATTTCTATTTGGGCTGCTTTGGTTTAAAAATGCCTGAATTTGGAGCCTGTTTGTGCATTCTGAGTCCTTCTTCGCTGCATGTGGTAGTGCAACCGTTTCTGCCTGTGTGCCTTTTTACCTGTTTATCAGGACTTTCACAAACCAAAGGCTAATTTTTTTCCTTTTTTAAAAAAATTAAATTAGAATCAAGCCTGTTTTACATGTCAATTCCAGTTCCCTTTCCTTCCCCTCCTCCTCTGCTCCCCACCAACCCCCTATCCCATCCCCCTCCTGCTCCCCAGGGAGGGTGAGGCCTTCCATGGGGGATCTTCAAAGTCTGTCATATCCTTTGGAGCAGGGCCTAGGCCCTCCCCTGTGTATCTAGGCTGAGACAGTATTCCTCTATGTGGGAATGGGCTCCCAAAGTCCATTAGTGTTCTAGGGATAAATACTGATCTACTACCAGAGGCCTCATAGATTGCTGAGGTCTCCTCACTGACACCCACGTTCAGGAGGTCTGGATCAGTCCTGTGCTGGTTTCCCAGCTATCAGTTTGGGGTCCATGAGCTCCCCCTTGTTCAGGTCAGCTGTTTCTGTGGATTTCTCCAGCATGGTCTTGACACCTTTGCTCTTCACTCCTCCCTCTATTATGGTATCTCTTTTCTTGCTCTCCTCTATTCTTCCCCTAACTCAATCTTTCTGCTCCCTCGTGTCCTCCTCTCCCTTCCTCTTTCTACTAACTCCCTCTCCCCTCTCCCCGTGCTCCCAATTAACTCAGGAGAGCTTGTCCCTTTCCCCTTCTCTGGGGACCCATGTATGTCTCTCTTAGGGTCCTCCTTGTTTCCTAGCTTCTCTGGCAGTGTGGATTGTAGGATAGTAATACTGTGCTCTATGTCTAAAATCCATATATGAGTGAGTACATACCATGTTTGTCCTTTTGTGACTGGGTTACCTCACTCAGGATGGTTTCTTCTAGTTCTATCCATTTGCCTGAGAATTTCAAGATTCCATTTTTTTTCTGCTGAGTAGTATTTCATTGTATAAATGTACCACATTTTCTTTATTCATTCTTCAGTTGAGGGGCATCTAGGTTGCTTCCAGGTTCTGTTTATTACAAATAATGCTGCTATGCACATAGTTGAACAGATGTCCTTGTGATATGAATGTGCATCTTTTGGGTATATGCCTAAGAGTGTAATTGCTGGATCTGTGGTAGACTGATTCCCATTTTCCTGAGGATCCACCAAAGGCCATTTTTTATGAACATCAATTTTGTAATTTTTTTCTTTTATTGAGCATGCTTTTGATGGTCTATTATGCCTCCCCCTGATTTTCTCCTGTTCTCATCTAAAAGATACTTGAGTTACTGTGAACAGTGGTGAGCACATGTCTGTGGCAGTCACTGATTTCAGCTCTTGTGGTGCTGAGTTGCTTTGAATAATTGTAAAAATGTCAGTTGGCTAAACTTGTGTAGGCCTAGTTCTCAGCCTACATGGATCCATCACTCCACAATATTACACAGTCTCTGTGTAAGCTTAAAAATACAGTATTGTGTGCTGAGGGTGGGGATCAGTGGTAAAGGTGCTTTCTGTGCAAGTGTGAGGACTTGAGTTAGAATCCCCAGCACCCATGTCTAAAAAAAAGGAAAAGAAACAGACATGCCAGCATGGTGGTGCTCGTCTTTGATCCCAGCACTCTGGAGGGAGAAGAAGGCAGATCTCTGGGTCCCAGACTAGTCTAGTCTACAGAGTGAGTTCCAGGACATCCAGGATTATACAGAGAAACCCTGCCTGAGAAAATCAAAACCAACCAAACAGACAAACCAGACACACAGTGCTTCTATGGGATAGTGAGAGAGATAGAGGCAAAGGATTCCTGGAGCTCATGGCCAGCTAGCTTGGCACAGAGCAGAAAACAGCAAAGGCCCAATTCCTAACTGACATTCCATGTCTTCCTCCATGGTCTAGCCTAGCCCTACCTTCCCTACTTTCAGTGCAGAAGAGCTCTAGTTTTGGGCCAGGATCTTCTCCCCCCTCCCCCGTCTGTCACCCCTGTCTACCCCCACACTCCTGTCTGTCATACTATAGGAGTGTCTCACTTCTATCTACCCCCACACTCCTGTCTGCCATACTGTAGGACTGTCCACCCTGTCTACCCCACACTCCTGTCTGCCATACTGTAGGACTGTCCACCCTGTCTACCCCCACACTCCTGTCTGCCATACTGTAGGACTGTCCACCCTGTCTACCCCCACACTCCTGTCTGTTATACTGTAGGACTGTCCACCCTGTCTACCCCCACACTCCTAGCTTGGAACAGAAAGCTCTGCCCACTTGCCTGAATACTTCCCAAGCTACTTCTAACTTCTAGAACTAACCCACACACATGACCTCTCTTCTCCTCAACCCTGCTCCATCCAAACCAAACTTAAAGTTAGCAAAGGAAGTCCACATGCCCAGAACTCATCACAGGGATGACAACAATTTAAAAGATCAAATCAGTGTGTTCTCTGCAAAACCAGTACAAATAGTTGCCAATGAGAATTACCTAGATGAACTCTAGGACACAGAAGTTAAAAATCAGAAAGATCACGAATAAATGGCTTAATGATGCAACTCAAAATTTGAAAAAAGAGGGCTGGAGGGCTCAGAGGTTAAGAGCACTGACTGCTCTTCCAGAGGCCCTGAGTTCAATTCCCAGCAACCACATGGTGGCTCACAACCATCTGTAATGAGACCTGGTGCCCTCTTCTGACATGCAGGCATAACAGTGTGTACATAATAAATAGATCTTTAAAAAACATTTGAAAAAAGAAGACCAAGAACAACATGAAGAAACCAAATCCAAACTCAGTCAACAGCAAAAGTAATAAAAATCAGGATAGTACTGTTTTCTTCATTAACTGATCCCTTGAGTAGAATGAAGTGTCTCTCTTTATCTCATATGATTAGTTTTAGTTTGAATTCTATTTTGTCAGATATGAGGATAGCAATGCCTGCTTGTTTCCTGATACCATTTGACAGGAATTCTTTGTCCACCTTATACTTTAAAGCAGTGCCTATCTTTACAACTAAGATGTGTTTCTTGTAGACAGCAGACAAAAGGTTTTGTTTCTTGATCCATCTGCAGGTTTTTCTGCTGTCAATTGTTTTAATTCATTGTGGTCCAATAGGATACAGGGAGTGATGGTAAGCAAGTGGGAGAGCCTGATTTCAGCACCAAATGTAAACAAGGTGGAGTATTACTGCTCTAGGGCTACAAAGGTGTCCAGACTTTTCTGGAAGCCAGGCTACCTAGGACAGCTCTGGAGACTGGAGCTGCAACAGGATAACTCTGGAGAGAAAGGTGTCCTGACTTTTCCAGAAGCCAGGCTTCCTGAGGCTGGGGTGGGGGTGGGGCTCCCCACAGATTATAGCAACCCTGCTCCTCTACTGGAGAGAGCCATTACTGCTGAGCTTTGCTCTGTTCCTCTAAGGGAACATGCAGCTTCTTTTGCTTTTGTTACAGTCTTCTAATGCCCCTGCAGATTATAGCAATCTCCTCCAGCTCCTGCGAAAAGTTGTTACTTTTCTGCTACAGACTTGCTCAGCCCTCTAAGGGAAAGTCCTGCTATCTCTTCTATTCTGTGCAAACAGAGCAGCCCACCACTAAACAGGCACAAGGGCCTCTATAGGGCTTCTTGGGGGTGGAATTTTCCCAGGGAGAGGTTTTTCTGCTCAGGGATTGGTTAGTTTTCCTGCTCAGGGATTGGTTAGTTTTCCTGCTCAGGGATTGGTTGCTTTAGTGGATCAGGGGCAGACTTGGCTCTGATTTCAGGGCAAACTGTTTCTTTCGCATAGTTCTTTTTAGCCTTTTGGCTCTAATTTTAGGGCCAAGGCATATTTCTTTCACTAGCTTTGATTCTAGGGACAAAGTGTGTTCTTTGGCACTGGTTTCAAAGAGTCAGGGTGTTTTTCTTTGGTCCTGGGCTCAGGGATAAAGTGTTCCTTCCACTAATTCAGGTTTCAAATCCAGTGTGTATTTCACTGGCTCTGGGTTTAGAGTCAAGGTGCACAGGGATTAGTTGGTTCTGTGTTTCAGTTGGTCAGGGGCAGAGTTGGCTCTGGTATCAGCTGGTTAAAGTGGGTTTCTTTGGCTGGCCCTTTTACCCTACAGTGATGGCCTATCTGTTGGAAAAATTGAGACATTGAATGCATTCACAAGTCACAGCAGAATCCTACCAGACATTCAAAGAGCTATAGTCAATTCTTCTTAAAGTGTAAAAAAGAAACCAGAAACAGAAGGAGCACCCCAAACTCCTTCTATGAAGCCAATATCACCCTAATACCCAAACCAGGCAAAGACACAATAACAAGAAAACTACAAGACAATATCCCTGATGAACATAGACTCAAAAATACTAAATAAGCCGGGCGTTGGTGGCGCACGCCTTTAATCCCAGCACTTGGGAGGCAGAGGCAGGCAGATCTCTGTGAGTTCGAGGCCAGCCTGGTCTACAAGAGCTAGTTCCAGGACAGCCTCCAAAGCCACAGAGAAACCCTGTCTCGAAAAACCAAAAGAAAAAAAATACTAAATAAAATACTTTGAAACAAATACAGGCATACATCAAAAATACTCAACATAACAAAATTTGCTTCATTCCTGAAATGCAGGAATGGTTCAACACACACAAGTGAATAAATGTAATAAACTACACAAATGAACTGAAAGACAAAAATCACATGATCATCTCAATATATGCAGAAAAAAAGCCTATGAAAAAACACAACATTCCTTCATGTTCAAAAGTCTTAGAGGGCCAGTCGTTGGTAGCACACACCTTTAATCCCAACACTCGGGAGGCAGAGACAGGTGGATCTCTGTGAGTTCGAGGCCAGCCTGGTCTACCGAGCCAGTTCTAGGACAGCCAGGACTGTTTACACAGAGAAACCCTGTCTCAAGAGACAAAAACAGAAACAAAAAAATCTTAGAGAGCTGGGTGTTGGTGGCACACGCCTTTTATCCTAACACTCAGGAGGCAGAGGCAGGCAGATCTCTGTGAGTTTGAAGCCAGCCTGGTCTTCAA